TTCAATTGCTTCAGGATCACTGTAAAGTATAGATCAGGCATGACCTCCCACAGGTGTTCACGCAGATGGTACCACGCATGCACAGAACCTCCCAGGCCAGCATCCACCACATGAGACCCACAGAGTGGGTTCCCTTGGTGTTGCATGGGATAGTGATGTCCACTTAGAACAGAGGTGATTCTATGTTACCCAGTGACGGTAGACAAGTTCACATAAGATGCCTCTAGGAGAGGCTGGTGGTCACCAGAAGATGTGGATCCCAGAAGTCTGTCTGGATCTGGTTAGTTAAGGTTCCAGGTGTAAGGCGGCCAGCTACAGGAGTAGCTCCAGTTGGAACAGCAAACTTCAGCACAGTCCTCTGGCCATACCTGGGGGATATCACACTGACATCAGCAGATTTTTCAATGGCAGCAATGACAGGAGCCACTGACAAAAGGTTCTCGCAGGTCCTCTTCAGATTTATGATGTAGATGCCATCACTTTTCCTTCTGTAGATGTACTGTTCCATTTGGAAGTCAAGGTTGGTGCCTCCTAGGTGGGTTCCTGCTGCAAGGAATTTGAGAACATCCCCCTCCTTCATTTGCAGGACATCAAAGGCTCTGAACATTACTACAGCTTCCTTTCAAGTTACACCAGCAATCAAGAACAACACCATCTAGATCCCTCACCAGGTAGCATACAAAGGCTGTATTCTCAGCTTGTATGAGGCAGTGCTGGCATCCCATATGGGTGCCAGTTCAAGTACCGCCTGCTCCTCTTCTGATCCAGCTCCCTACTGGTGTTCTGGGAAAGCAGTAGAAGATGGCCCAAGTGTGTGGGTCCCTGAACCTGTGTAGGAGACCCAGAAGAAGCTCCTGGTTCCTGGCTTCAGATCAGCTCAGCTCCAGCCATTACAGCCATCTGGGGAGTAAACCAGTGGATGGAAGACCTCTCTGTCTCTCCCCCCACTCTCTCTGTAACTCTGCCTGTCAAGTAAATAAATAAATCTTAAAAAAAAAAAAAAAAAAAAACACTCACAGCTGGCGCCGTGGCACAGTAGATTAATCCTCTGCCTGCGTAGCCAGCATCCCATATGGGCGCCAGTTCAAGTCCTCGTTTCTCTTCTTCCAATCTAACTCTCTGCTATGGCCTAGGAAAGCAGTAGAAAATGGCCCAAGTGCTTGGGCCCCTGTATCCACGTGGGATTCCAGGAAGAAGCTCCTGGCTTCTGGCTCCTGGCTTCAGATCGGCGCCGCTCCGGCCATTGTGGCCAACTGGGGAGTGAACCAATGGATGGAAGACCTCTCTCTCTCTCTCTACCTCTGGCTCTCCTTCTCTCTCTATGTAACTCCAACTTTCAAATAAATAAATAAATAAATCTTTAAAAATAAATAAATAAATAAAATAACAAAACTTACATTAGAAGTTATCTGGTAGTGTGAGGAGGAGGAAGAAAAGAAGGAGGAAGGAAGGAAGGAAGGAAGGAAGGAAGGAAGGAAGTTGGGAAGGGGAAACAGAGGAAGAAAGCAAAGAAAAAAAGAAAGAAAAGAAAGCAGTAGGAGACATAAGACCAGGAAGAAAAGGGGAAACTTCAGGATAATGTGTCACCCCGGTAGCCCAGCTGGAAGGGAAGGTATACAGTGAGTCTCACAGACAGTGGCAAACCAGAAGTGGTTACTTCAGCCAACAATAAACACTTACTAAAACCCTAGTGAAGGCAAGGCACTCAGAACACAGAGATAAAGTCAAAATGGAAACACAGAGAAACCAGAATGACTCAGAATTCCAGACAGGTCATGTTTGAAGGAGTCATTCACACACTCCCAAGGGGGGTGAAACTTGAGTCCCTCTCTTTTTCTCCTATCCTGGTGCAGGGGCATTATGTGCAGCTTCAGCATAGGCCTTTGGAGAGTGAGCCCTAATGAAAGCATGTGAGATCTAGTGACTTTCTTGAATAAATTGCCTATGAGGAAACATTTCACAAAGCACAGTGTGTGCCCAAAACTTGAATGGTGGCATTTGGGGCCATGACATGATCTCAGCCATATGAATAGCATTCCGAGGAAAGGAAAAGAAGCTATGGGACTCAGTCCAAACCTTTGACCAACTGACTGTAGAATCTTGGCATATTCTCCCAATACTCTTTTCATCTGGAAAATGTAAGGCTTGGATGAAATGTCTAGTGTGTGTGTTATTTGCGTGGTTTGAGTATGTGTATATGTGTATGTGTGTATAAATCCCACATTCATGATTACATGACATAAAACCATTTTATATTCATGGTATATTATAAAGTCTCTAGGTATAAAATATCTGTTACATATGTATGTAGAGTCATCAATTATCACTTAATATTTATTTATTTATTTATTTATTTTTTATTTTTGACAGGCAGAGTGGACAGTGAGAGAGAGAGACAGAGAGAGAAAGGTCTTCCTTTGCCGTTGGTTCACCCTCCAATGGCCGCCGCTGCAGCCGGCGCACCGTGCTGATCCGATGGCAGGAGCCAGGAGCCAGGTGCTTTTCCTGGTCTCCCATGGGGTGCAGGGCCCAAGCACCTGGGCCATCCTCCACTGCACTCCCTGGCCATAGCAGAGAGCTGGCCTGGAAGAGGGGCAACCGGGACAGAATCCGGCGCCCCGACCGGGACTAGAACCCGGTGTGCCGGCGCCGCAAGGTGGAGGATTAGCCTAGTGAGCCACGGCGCCGGCCTTATCACTTAATATTCAGAACTATCTTTGCACTTAGGCAAGATAGAAGATTGGAAAAAAAAAAAAAAGAGTGAGAGATTAATTCAGCAGTAAGAACTTCTAGGGTCATGTAAGTCAGAGGACTTGTCAACAGCCTGGAGAGATACATCCAGTGAGTATTAATTTAATAGTCTCAGTCTTCAGATTTCTCCAGGGCAGGAAAGCTTTTGTTCCCTGCTCTCAACTGCCATTAGACTATCAGAAAACAAAAGGACAAAATGTCTTTAACCCTTAAGAGCACATTCTAGCCAGCGCTGCGGCTCAATAGGCTAATCCTCCGCCTGTGGTGCCGGCACACCAGGTTCTAGTCCTGGTCGGGGCGCCGGATTCTGTCCCGGTTGCCCCTCTTCCAGGCCAGCTCTCTGCTGTGGCCCGGGAGTGCAGTGGAGGATGGCCCAAGTCCTTGGGCCCTGCACCCTCATGGGAGACCAGGATAAGCACCTGGCTCCTGGCTTCAGATCAGCGCTGTGCGCAGGCTGCAGCGGCCATTGGAGGGTGAACCAATAGTAAAAGGAAGATCTTTCTCTCTGTCTCTCTCTCTCTCACTGTCCACTCTGCCTGAAAAAAAAAAAAAAAGGCACATACTGGGTGAGGGTGATATATAGCTTGAAATCCCTCAACATCGATAATGGACTGAATGCTTATATCTCCCTAAAATTCATCCTAGTGAAATCCTAACCTCAATGTAATATATTAGGAGCTGGGGCCTTTGAGGGGTAGTTAATCATTAGCGTGGAACCCTCAGGAATGAGAGCAGTGCTCTTATAAAAGAATCCCCAAGGAGTTCTGTAGTTCTCTCTCTGCCATTTGAGAGTGCAGAAGGCCCTCTGCAAACCTTAAGGCCCTTAAGGCCCTCACCAGAACCCAACCATGCTGCTACTCTGATCTCAGACTTCCAGCCTCCAGAACTGTGAACAATAAATTGTTGTTGTTTATAAGCCCCTAGTCTGTAGCACTTTGCTCTACCAGCCCAAACTGACTGATCCCATTCTTTAGTTATCTGCCTTGGGTTTTCTAAGAAGCCACTTTTTTTGACACTTTTTTTTATCCATTATTTTAATTTCCTTTAATTTAAACATCCCAGTTATTCTAACTCATAAGTATTATCATGCCCATATTCACAGAGGTGACAAAAAAAAAAAAAAAAAAAACCTCACGTGTAGGCCAGGCATTTAGCCTAGCAGTTAAATTAAGATACCAATTAAGACACCCAACATCCCACATCAGAGTGTCTGGGTTTGATACCTGGCTCGAGGTCCTGACTCCAGTTTCCTGCTAATGTATACCCCAGGGGCAGTTGTGATGGCTCAAGTAATTTAGTTTCCTATCACCCATAATAGGAAACCTGGACTGAGTTCCTGAATCCCAGCTGCCAGCTTCAGCCCTGGCCTAGCCCAGCAACTGTGAACATTCGATGAGTGATTTGATGGGAGCAGATGGGAGCTCTTTCTGTGGATCTGTCTCTCTGTCTCTCAAATAAATTAATAACCTCACGTATGCTCAGGATGCATGGCGACCAGCCATCATGCTTATAGTTTCTCTGTCTCTGGTATTGGCTAACTCGTGCACTCCTGGTGTCTTCAAGAGGTAAGGCATCTTGTCTGAGTACCCATGCTGGCAAGTCACACAGTTCTGGTTCCATCCTAGCCAGCTGTTTCACAAACTCACACAGTCTCCCTAAAAGCAAGTCTGACCCTGCAACAAAAACTATGATACAGGCAGTAGATCAACTGTGCACCTAGAAAATATTTTTCAAGGGTGGAAAGATTTCATTTCAGAGAAGGAATGTTCCTCATACAGACTGGAGAACATCTAGGCGTCTAAAAGTAAACACCTATTTTACTTAAAAGGAAAATCGTACTGACTCTTGTTAGGAAATAGCTGAATTTACCCAACAAAGAAATTACACAATCTGCATGAGAGGTATGAAACTCTGGGAAGTACTACTGCTTATCTCACTATTTCCTGAACATCAGTTTCTTTTACTTTCATGAGTTTTCCCTTCTTATCTGCATACTACCTGTGTTATTATCCATGTAACTTTTTCTTTAAACCAAAACTAACCTTATCCTAAGCTATAATATCCATGAAATCATAGATTTGATGTAGTAGTTCCATTATGTGACAGATTAAAGCAACACTTACAATGCTCTTTGGTGTACCCTCTAAAATCAGCTGACATGCCATCACTGGTTGCACACAACATTGTGAGGATCTATAAAAGCAGTACCACATGAAAATATGTTCCCTGGAAGAACAGAGCTCCATGAGGGTAAAATAGGAACTCCAAAGAATAATAATCTGAATTTTTTACCAAAATTTTTCAAAAAAGACACCAACTCTGGCAAGCTTTGTGTACTGGCCATAACAGGTGTAAACTTAATTCTGGACAGGGAGGGTTATCAATTTTTTCTTCAGGCTAGATCAAAAAGCCCTCAAAACCATCCTCTCCTTGTCTTCTCTCTGATCCCAAGAGGACTAACTCTCTTCTGCAATGACTTAGAGTCCCCATCACCTTGATCCTGTATAGAAGCTTTGATTGGATGTCATGAATGGACTCATGCCCAGAAATATGTATCTACCATTGGAATATACACTGGCCCCTGTGAATTGGATCAGCACCAGTCAGTTTCCCATGACTGATTATCCTCTGCACACTGAGAAGCTGAGCTTCTAGGATTGCAAATTCAAGACAAGATCCTAGGAAATAGGTAAGTAGCAAGGTTCCAGCATCATGTAAGACCCTGTGATAGGGGCCACCATTGTAGCGCAGTGGGTTAAGCTGCTGCCTGCAATGCCGGCATCCCATATGGAGTCCCAGCTGCTCCCTGCTAATGTGCCTGGGAAAGCAGAAGATGGCCTGAGTGGTTGGGCCTTGCCACGCACATGGGATACCCAGATGGAGTTCCAGGATCCTAGCTTCAGCCTCGCCCAGCCCCAGCCATTATGGCCATTTGGGGAATGAACCAGCAAATGGAAATTCTCTCAATCTTTCTATTTCTCTCTCCCTATCCCTCTCCTTCTTTCTCTGTAACTCTGCCTTTCAAAATAAATCTTTAAAAATATCCTCTAACAGCTAATTTTATATGTCAACTTGTCGGGGCCATGGGCTGTCCTGGTATTTGGCCAAACGTTATTGTGGGTAGTTTTGTGGGTTTTTTTTTTTAATTATATTAACATTTTAATTGATGGACTTTGAGTCAAGCAGACTGCCCTCCATAATTTGGGTGTGGGCTTCATCCAATCTGATGGCCTGAACAGAAGCTAAGGCTAACCTTAATGCCAAGCAAGATGAATTCTCCAGATCTCCAGCAGATGGCATTTGTTTCTTGTTTTTCTTTTTTAAGATTTATTTATTTATTTGAAAGGCAGAGTTACAGAGAGAAAGAGAGAGAGAGAGAGAGGTCTTGAGGTCTTGCATCTATTGGTTCACTCCCCAAATGGCCAGAGCTGGGCCCAGCTGAAGCCAGGAGCCAGAAGCTTCTTCAGGGTCTCCCAGGTAGGTGCAAGGGCCCAAGGATTTGGGTCATCCTCCGCTGCTTTCCCAGGCCACAGCAGAGAACTGGATCAGAAGTGGAGCAGCCAGGACTCGAACTGGTGCCCATATGGTATGCCAGCCCTGCAGGCAGCAGCTTTACCTGCTACACCCAGTGCTGGCCCCAGCAGATGGCATTTGGACTCAAACTGGAACGCCATTTCCTGGTTCTCCAGTCTGGATGACTCACAGATTTTGGCCTTGTCACCTTTCATAACCATAATTGCTTATGGTAAAGTACACACACACAATGGGAACTTCCAAAAGCTCATGTCAAGTAAAATTAAAACTAAGTTTATTGTAGTGCAAAAATATTTAGAGTTCACATATATTTTTTTGTAACATGCATTTTCTATTAACTTTTAGAAGACCTTTGTGTAAGATAGTTCTTTGGTTCCGTTACTCTCGAGAACCCAGTTCAGTGATACCTTTGAATTTGTAGTTCTGCATTCAGTAACCTCTCACATCTCCAACTAACATCCTCCTCCCCCAGCTTTGCCTGAGGCCAGATAACCATGTTTGGACTTTTACTACCAAACAGTGGCAGGGCAGAAGAGCAGCTGTAGGGAAGGTATGAACTCCAATGCCAGATCCTCTCACTAAGCATGCTGGTAGCTAAAACTAGAATACTATAAACATAAATATTTCTAAAACCCTAATGAAAACACTTATTTGTTCATATTACAGACAAATAGGATGAACTAAAGAAGAATCAAAGTTTCATTGTTTTTGTAGAGAATACCATTTATATTAGTTGGTTTTTTTGATACTAGAGTGAAGTATATAAACCAAGCTGCTTATGGAGGAAGGAGCTTTATTTTGGCTCATACTTTTGAAGGTTCACAGTCAGGCAAGTCCTGTTGGTTCAACATCTGGTGATACCATTCTGGCAGAATTTGAGGCAGAGTGAACATCACATGGCAACTTGTAGAGCCACCCGGATGATTCTGCCCTAGGGGCCTCGTCCAATCCAATCACTTCCCAAAAGCCCACTTTCAGACATCATAACAGGATTACCATTAACATAATACAACAGGGTCCAAACATTAACACATGGGCTTTGGGGGACATTCAACAGTGACAGTAATACCCAAACTATAGCACTATTTAAATTGGGTTTTGATTGGCAACTAAATAGGAATTAAATAAAAAAAATGGCCAAAAGTAAACATAGTAGCTTACCTAGCTTATTCTTTTTTTTTTTTTTTTTTTTTTTTTTTTTTTGACAGGCAGAGTGGACAGTGAGAGAGAGAGAGAGAGAAAGGCCTTCCTTTTCCATTGGTTCACCCCACAATGGCCGCTGTGGCTGGCACACCGCGCTGATCCGAAGCCAGGAGCCAGGTGTTTCTCCTGGTCTCCCATGCGGGTGCAGGGCCCAAGGACTTGGGCCATCCTCCACTGTACTCCCAGGCCACAGCAGAGAGCTGAACTGGAAGAGGAGCAACCGGGACAGAATCCAGCGCCCTGACCGGGACTAGAACCCTGGGTGCCGGTGCCGCAGGCGGAGCATTAGCCTAGTGAGCCGTGGCACCAGCCACCTAGCTTGTTCTAAAACAAATGTTTCACGGGCAGGTATACTAGCAGGAGTCCTTGAGCATGTCAAGGAAGAGAACCAGCAGAATGGAGACCCCTTTCCATCTCTCACATTCTAGAATATATATTTTCTTATGAAAACAACACTACTACCTGGACAATAAGCCAGAGAATACTTACATAAGTAGGTTATCCTGGATTATGGTTCCTGTTTTAGGGATGAAGAAACAGAAGTAAGAAGCATAGGATTTATCCTAAACATACTATGCACTCCTCCTCCAAGAGGCATGGAAACACTCCAGCTTTTGAGGATTCTGCCACTACCATCTGCTAACCATCTGGGCCTCTGCTTGCTCAGCTTTAAAATGAGGGTAAGAGCACATATCTTGCATGTTTGTTGTGAGAGTTATATGAGTCAATTAAAGTAAAATGCTTATCCTATAGGAGTTGCTTGAAAATGAGAAGGTATAATTTGCTCCAAAATTTTCTGTATGGGCTTAGAAACATAACCAGTTGTACTTAATTGTATTTCAGATTATCTAATACATACAAAGAAGGATCACTTTCATTCTCTCCAGGACTAAAAATACGAAACTGAAATAAGAATGTTCACTTCTATATACAAGGATGTTACTGGGCTCTCATTGCAAGGAAAAACTACTTAAGAGTTATTCTTCCTTAGGTCATATCACTGTACTGTATAGTATATAGAATATAATATAGAAAGTATGTCCACAAGGGATATGTTCCAAGACTCCCAGCAGATGCCTGAAACCACAGATAGTACCAAATCTGTCACTCAGTGCATTTTCCATCTTAACAATCATTTGTCCTTTGTGACCCTAACTTGCAGTTTAAGGTGCAACAGCAAAACTACCATGAATTTCTCTTTCCTTCTTCATCATTTCATGGATAGATTTGCTCTTAAAAATCTTAGCAATCTTAGAATATAATTTTTTTCTTATTAAGTCAATAGCCTCATCTTTTTACTTACATTAAGTACTTTACACCTTCTCTTTGGCATATGCATATTCCCAGCATCCCTGCTCTTGTGCTTTGTGGCAGTGTTAGGTAATGTAAGGATTACCTGAAAACAGCCCTATATACTGTGACAGTTGATTTGAAAACCAATTCAATTACTAAGTGACTAACAGCAGGTAGTGTATATAGTGTGGACAAAGGAATGATTTACATCTCATGCTACTCTGAACGGTGGCAACTTAAAACATAAATTGTTTGTCTTGAATTTTTCACTTAATATTTTCAGAACATAGTTGACCTATGGTAACTGAAACATGGAAAGTGAAAACACAGATAAGTTTTCTGAAAAGCAATACTCTCCTAGGTTTCCTTGGGGCCAGTGACACACAGGTGCACCTGGCAGATTTGATGCTACAAACCTGTAGCTCCCATCCCCCGACACATGTGCAGGAGCATCAATACATCAGGTTCTAGCAGCATGAATAGTACGTGACCATGAGCTTATCAACAGCTACATCCGTGGGGTTTGTTGTTGTCATTCTGTTCCAGGATATACAGCACAGTTTGTTTATGTAAGGGGAAAGAACTGTGTGTCTCAAAAAGTGACTGGCTAATTAAATTATTTAACAGTCATAGAATGGAATAATTTGCAGCCATTAATCAGAATGAGGTTTCCTCGTCGCTGCCTACAGAGATGGCAGCCATTACACCCACCCTCAGACCCCTGGTGAAGGCCAAGATCATCAAAAACAAAGTTCAAGAAGTTCACTGGAACCAATCAGACCAGCATGTCAATATTAGGAGTAATGCATGGGGCCAGCACTGTGGCATAGCGGGTAAAGCTGCCGCCTGCAGTGCCAGAATCCCATATGGACACCGGTTCCAGTCCTGGCTGCTCCACTTCCCATCCAACTCTCAGCTATGGCCTGGAAAAGCAATGGAAGATGGCCCAAGTCCTTGGGTCCCTGCAACCACATGGGAGACCCTGAAGAAGCTCCTGGCTCCTGGCTTCAGATAGGTGCAGTTCCAGCCATTGCAGCCAATTAGGGAGTGACCAGCAGGTGGAAGACATCTCTCTCTCTCTCTCTCTCTCTCTCTGCCTCTCCTTCTCTCTCTGTGTAACTCTGACTTTCAAATAAATAAATCTATAAAACAAACAAAAAAAAGTAATGCAAAAACCCAGAGATATTGACACAGGGTGAAGAGAAGATTCAAAGGCCAGATCTTGATGCCCAACATTGGTTATCGGGGCAACAAGAAAACAAAGTACATGCTGCCCAGTGGCTTCTTGCAAAGTTTTAGTCCACAACATTAAGAAGCTGGAGGTGCTGCTGATGTGCAACAGATTTTACTGTGCATGGATTGCTCACAGTGTTTCCTCCAAGAACCACAAAGCCTTCCTGACGGCCCAGATGACCATCAGAGTGACCAATCCCAATGCCAGGCTCTGCAGTGAAGAAAAGGAATAAACAGCTCATGTGCATACTTCGTGTTTAAACAAAAGCCTTTAAAACTAAAAACAAAACAAAACAAACAAACAAAAAAACAAAATGAGTGGTAACCTTTGCCAAAACATTGTTTGTGGTACAAAATAAGGTATAATAAAATCCTGTGCAGAAGACATAAACTTTTTACTCTCTAGATATAGCTATCTGTGGAATAAAATGGAGAAGATACAAAGACTACAAAGACACACCGGTACGTGTGCGGGGGGGGGGGGGGGGGGGAGAACGAGAGCAAGACTGAGAGAAAGATAGAGATAGAGAGAGAGAGAGAGAGAGTGAGAGAGAGAGAGAGAATGCAAATGCAAAGAAACTGAATATTTACTTCTTTTTGGAAAAACACTAGGGTCCAAAGAACAAAGATTAGAGGGAAACATCTCTGTGATTATAGAACAGAAAACCAACTCAAACTAAGTTACTCTTGCCTTACATCTACAACACAGATCGCTTCTGTGATCTCAAAATGTGTAGGAATTCCTCCCCATCAGCAAGTAAGCAACCAGTTCTGCAGCAGGCATCAGCTGGGCATCTTCCAGTTCAATTCATTTCTGATTCCATCTACCTGGAGATAGCATCAGATCCCACAGACTGACTGTTAGACTGGCCCCACTTACTTCCCATGCATCAGATCCCACAGATTGACTGTTAGACTGGCCCCACTTACTTCCAATGCCAATCACAAGCCCCTGACTATAAACTAGAGTTCCCACAAGCTCCTCCTCTGGTTCACTTGATTGGCTTGAGCAATTCACAGGGATCAGGGAAGCTCTGATATTTACCTGTTTATTATAAAGGATGTTACAGAGGATACAGATGAAGAAATGCACAGGGCACAGAACAAGGTATGGGGAAAGAGGTATGGAGATTCTATATCCTCTCTATGCCACTCTCCAGGAACCTCCACATTTCCAGCTATACAGAAACTCTTAGAACCCTGTTCTTTGGTAGTTTTATGGAGACTTCATTGCATAGGCCTGATTGAAGTACAGACAGTCATGGCAAAAAAGGTAGGACGTAATGCTAACACATTGAGTTAGGAAACCCAGTAAGGCCTATCCAGATTCTTCTTGGCCCTCTGTATAAAGGGAACGTGTAGCATGTCCTCCCAGGTATAGGGCAGGACCCCTTCCGAAAGGGAGGCCTTGTGATTTACTGTCTGTGAAGGTAGGTCAGAGAATTTCTTTATGAACAAAGGAAGAACAGAGTTTGTATGGTCTTCCACAGGGAAGAGAAAGTCTAGTTTCCATTGTCAGCCTTGGGGAGGGAGCTATATGAGCCAGGAACTGTGAAACACACACACACACACACACACACACACACTTTCACTATATTCACCTCTTGAATGGTTGAGTTTATATCTTACTATATGCATGAACTATCTATCTGTACTCATATGTAATCATTGGACACAGATTATTTCACACAACCCTTTCTCAGTCTGTTCTGAGGGTCCCTGGCAGAAAATTAATAGTAAGAACTAGTAAGGGCTGGCGCCGCGGCTCAATAGGCTAATCTTCCACCTGTGGCGCCGGCACACCGGGTTCTAGTCCCGGTCGGGGCACCGGATTCTGTCCTGGTTGCCCCTCTTCCAGGCCAGCTCTCTGCTGTGCCCAGGAGTGCAGTGGAGGATGGCCCAAGTGCTTGGGCCCTGCACCCCATGGGAGACCAAGAGAAGCACCTGGCTCCTGGCTTCGGATCAGTGCGGTGAGCAGGCCGCAGCGGCCATTGGGGGGTGAACCAATGGTAAAGGAAGACCTTTCTCTCTGACTCTCTCTCTCTCTCACTGACCACTCTGCCTGTCAAAATAAATAAATAACTAGTAAGATGAAACCTGAAATTATCAGAATGATGCAGCATAGATTCGACCTCAGGAGCAGAGACCAGGAGAATCCTTGCTTTTGGAGCACAAAAGCCAAGAGCTTCCCTGCAGATACTCTCTCACTGCTCCCCCTCATCCTTTTCTATCCCCACTCCAATATGGTGACTGGGGCTCTTGGCACAAAATGGATGGATGCTCATTAGATTTGTTTGTCTTCTGGAGAAATGTGAATATCCCAAGGCAACAGCTATAATGGGTTTGGGGACCAGCTGACTGTGGAAGAGTGAGAAACTTGTGCTTTAGAAGTTGATCCATTTGAAATACACATTTTAATTTTTTTTTTAATTTATTTGAAAGGCATGAAGATAGAAACAGAGCTCCCATCTGCTGGCTCAGTCCCCAAATGTCTGCAACAGCCAGGACTGGGTTGGGACTCAAGTCAGAAGCCCAGAACTCAATCCAGGTCTCCCACTTGGGTAACAAGTCACTTGAATCATCACTGCCGCACACTGACAGGAAGCTGGAGTCAGCAGCTGGAGTTTGAACCAAACCCCAGTATTCCAATGTCCCACACATGGGTTTCTCAACTGCTAGGCTAAATACTCGCCTCTGAGATACACATTTATGTCTTGGGAGTTTATTTCTCTGTTTTTCATCTCAAGGGTCAAGAAAAGAGTGATGGGGGAGGGAGTGGCTTTTAAAGGCTCAGCCTTGCTAAGTAGAACCAAGAGGAAATGTTCTGGTTACATCTCCTGTCCCTGAAGACCACTCTCCTGTGTTGCTCAACACCCTGCAGTGCTGGCTGTGACCACTGGGAATCCTGCACCCCAGGAAGTAGAAGTCATGAAGGTGACTGTAGAAGTCCTGCATCCGGGAGAAACCAGTCCTACCTAGCAGCAGAAGCAAGAGGTAGGTCCACACCAGAACCATGTTTTCTGGGAAAGCCACGAAGTGGGAACCAGTCACTTTCCTGGGGGGCACAGTATCTCCCTCCCCTCCGGTCAAGAAATGTAGTGGGGGGGGCAGGTGTTGGGGTGCAGATTAAGCCACTGCCTGCAATGCCAGCATCCCATATTGGGGTACCAGTTACAGTCCCAGCTACTCTGCCTCTAATCCAGCTCCCTAATGCTCCCAGGAAAGCAGCAGAGGATGACCTAAGTGCCTGGGCTCCTGCCACCCACATGGAATACCAGATGGAGTTCCAGGATCCTCACTTCAGTCTGGCCAGGCCCTGGCTCTTTGCCACCATCTGGGGAGTGAACCAAGCAGAGAAGATGGAAGATCTCTCCCTCCCTCCCTCTCTCTCTGTCATACACACACACACATACACAGTCATTCTGCCTTACAAATAAGTTTTTTAAATCTTAGAGAGAGAGAAGAAATGGATATAAATTCTCTCCACTTTTTCTACATCCCCTTTCTGCACCATCCATCCCGGGAACTCATTTGGCCTTGCCCTCTTCTACTTGGCCCACCCCCTTCTTTTTCTTCTCTGGGCTTCTGCCTTGATTCCTATCCTTCTCCCTGACTCAACACATGCCCAATTTAAGATTTGTTAAAGGGACTCAGGTGAAGGGAGCTGTCTGTCCCTCAAGGAAAGGGCAACTTACTTTCTCTCTCTCTCTCTCTCTCTCTCTCTCTCTCTCTCTCTCAGAGATACAGTTACAGACAGGGAAAGGGAGAGACAGAAAGACAGAAAGATCTTCCTCCATTGGTTCACTTCCCAGATGGCCGCAACGGCCTGAGCTGTGGGAAAGGGCAACTTCTTACATTCTTTTAGACTTGGCATAAGAGATCCCTTCTACTCCCAAAGCTTTTTTTTTTTTTTTTTTTTTTTTTTTTGGACAGGCAAAGTGGATAGTGAGAGAGAGAGAGAGACAGAGAGAAAGGCCTTTCTTTTTCCATTGCTTCACCCCACAATGGCCGCTGCGGCCTGCACACCACGCTGATCCAAAGCCAGGAACCAAGTGCTTCTCCTGGTCTCCCATGAGGGTACAGGGCCCAAGCACTTGGGCCACCCTCCACTGCACTCCCGGGCACAGCAGAGAGCTGGCCTGGAAGAGGGGCAACCAGGACAGAATCCGGCACCCCAACTGGGACTAGAACCCGGGGTGCCAGCGCCGCAGGCGGGGGATCAGCCTAGTGAGCCACGGGGCTGGCCCAAAGCATCTTTGATCCTCACCTAATTGCTCCTCAATAATTATCATAATTTACATTTGTAAAGTGATTTAGGGGTTGCAAAGCTTTTCTTCCCATCTGATTCCTCTTGTAACCCTGTGAGCTAAAGCAAATATTGTCACATTCCCACCTTTAAAAACAGACTCAGAGTTTTAATGAGTTGTCCAAAGTCAGACATCTAATAAGCAAAAGGCCAAGAATAATGATGAATCCTTCAAATTGCCCATAAAATGAAGTCCTTCACCAATAGAAACCTACTTTATGCCTCAAACTAAGAAATCACAGCCACCTCTTCCACTCAAACTCACACCACCTTATTTGTAAATTCCTCATTCAGCCCCTTGCCTGTTCCTGCCTTCCCACTCCTCGCCAGGACCACAGAATGATCACCACCGCTACTTCCAACACTGCAGCAGAAGTCCTCCCATTGGCAGTCTTGATCCCCTGTATGTATGCTCTCTTACTCAGCCCTGAGCTGGGGATCCCGCAGAATCAGGGCTGGAGATTCTACAGACTGGTGTTGACAACTTCCTCCCAAGAAGTGATTGTTATAGTGCCCAGCAGTCCACAGAGGTAGGAGAGGGTAGGGCTGAGTAAATTGGATATTGCCCTTCCAAGGAAAAAGGTTGAGTGTTTCCATCGTGACACTCTCAGAGGATCTCAAGCAATACCTGGGGACTCTGGACAGTGGGAGCTCAGCAGTTCCTGGGGAAAATCAGGCCCATGCATGGTGTGGCAGGTAGAGACAAGTAAATGGAAGGTAGCCCCGACTCCTAGGCTTTCCAAATAACTCTCTCTGCCCCAAAGCCTATTTTCCTCCCACAGGTCATAAGAGAGAGAGATGCTATGCTGTTGCCTTTTATCCAGAAAAATGTCTAAAGAGGAATGGGATCTAACTGGAATGCACAAATCCTTTGGCCAAGGCAACCCAGCCAACCTGAGCAATAAGCCAGCCACCACCCTGTCTCCCCAGTCCTTGGACCCTGTAAGCAATGCTAGGACTCTAAACTTTAGAGCCTAGATGTCAAAGGGCCTGGAGAAAAGAATATGCAAAGCTTTCTAGAAAGAAAGGGTTCACTCAGAGGTCAGCTAGAAGGAGGGGAAGAAAGCCTGAGGGGCACTTACCTAGGGAGACAAAGAGCAAGAGGTGACATCTGAGGATAAGACATGTGCTGATTGTGTGGGCACTTCCCTCTCACTGTATGGCTTTCCCAGCTTCCATAAAGAAAAACTCCCAGACTCCCAGACACACCCTTCCTCTACCCTAAAGCAAGAGCTCTGGTCTCAAGGTCTTTGGCCACAGTCCACACTCTGGAACATCTCTCCAAACTCTTCGCTAGTCTAATGCACTGTAGCCTGGGTTACCCACACAGGTGAGGCCAGCCTTTGTTTTTCTGTTAGTTCTTTCAGCCTACCCACTCATCCCTGCCCGCCTCTCTCCTTCAGGATTCAGAGCTTCTCTTATCATTCAGAACCCACTCTGATCTTTCACAGGCCAACAGATAGGCATCAGGATTCCTAATATGGAAAAACTGATGTGAAAGCTACATGTTCAGATAGGATGTCCATCTTTTTTAATATTTTATTGTACTTTCACCTTTTCAGTTAACAGAAGCACTTGAAAGCTTCTCTTCAGCATATATGTTTTGTTTTATTTTCTTTAAGACTTATTTATTTGAAAGGCAGAGAGTTACAGAGAGAGAAGGAAAGAGAGAGAGAGAACTGCCATCTACTGGTTCACTCCCCAAATGGCCACAACAGCCAGAGCTGGGCTAGGCCAAAGCCAGGAACCTTCAGGTCTCCCACGTGAGGGCAGGGGCCCCAGTGCTTGCGCCATCTTCTGCTGCTTTCCCAGGTGCATTAGCAGGGAACTGGACAGGAAGTGGAGCAGTCAGGACTCAAACCAGCATTCATATGGGATGCCAGCATTGCAGGTGGCCACTTAGCCCAGTGTACAACACTGACTGCACGTGCACATTTTAGTAAATCTACTGGATGGAATGCCAGGCATCTCATTCATCTAGGCCCTTGCAACATGACAGGGTGACAACATACCTTCTCCTATTATGGAGTTCTCCAGAGTCTACCAGATGCCTGTTCGGTGTCTACGCGGATCTTCCCCATCACAGTGACACCTACTCAGTGTCCACATGATTCTTCACAGTCGGGAGTGCCTTCTCACATGCGCACCTGAATGCCTTTGGTGCCAGTCAAGTCACTGCAGTTGTGATGCCGGTATGCTCTCCATTTTCAGAGAAGCTGTAATATAAAAAACAAACTATGTGTTGACTCTTCTTAGTGTTGTAAAGTTTTCCTTCTAAGAGCCTTTCTTTTAACTTTAGGTTCCTTTAGGTTTATAATTCCAAAGTTATCGGTCATATCTGATGACCTCTCGCTCTTCTGAATGGTCCTTTCACCTCACCAGGAGTCCCTTGCCAGGTGCCATGGGAAAAAAAAGGGGTCATGTAGGCACTGCCTGTCTTGTGCTCTATGGCTCCAAATGCCAGTCTTTTCCACTGAAGAAGTAACCTCTGCCTTCTGTAAGGGGCCCAGGGATCACTGAGATTCTGCACAGTGCTAAAGGGTCCTGGGGAGTGTAGTTCTGCTTGCAAGTCACTACCATGGAGGAGTTTATGGCCAATGTGGTATGATTTTCCAATGTCTATCCCCAGGGAGTGAAGAGATAAATATGTGTCTCTATACAGAACTTAAAAACCAGAGTCCAAGGAAAGAAACTCAATATATGAAAACTTTTTTTGAAGTCAGGCTGGAAAATAATTAAACGACTTTCTGCAACTCCTTAGAGGCCTATGCTGAACCATGGACAGCTACATCAAGGCCTTGCTCCAGCATTGCCGGCCAACTTACTCTTCTAGGGAAAATATTATATTTTCCTTCCAGACTCAGTTTGGTATATCCATAGGAAGCCTTTCTTGTCCTCTGGCACCCACTTCTCACACCTGAAATTAGACTCACATCTTCCCTACTCACCTATATATTACACCTATCTGACTCTAGGCGTGTTTCTTCCCAGGAGACAGCTCAAAAAGGGTGCAATTTACATTGGTCTTTGTTGTCTGTACCTAGAATGTTATCTGTTATATGGAAGGGACCTCATAAATGACTATAGAATAACGAAATTTGCATCAAGACACCAAAGCACGTGAATATCTTGACATATTGGACCTATTTGCATTGCCATCTGCTATATGTAGAGCATGAGTTTCACTGCAATCCTGATATTTTATTAAGAGGAAAGTATTCTCTGTTTTAATGTGTATTTCTTTCCTAGTAAGGTTTCTTAGTTTTCCAAATGTTCATTTTAATAATTATGATCTTATATTGCGAATTATCTCTTTATATTTCAATAATCATTTTCTGACAACTTGCCCAAGCAGTAGTCAGATTTCTTTCTTCTTCCTTTTCCTGTTTTGATTTTTGACCTTGTTTTCTGACAGACAGAGTGGACAGTGAGAAAGAGAGACAGAAAGAGAGCTCCTCTTTTGCCGGAGGTTCCCCCTCCCAAGGACGCCCCGGCCGGGGCAACTGCGGCCGGCACCGCTGTGGCCGGCGCACTGCGCTGATCCGATGGCAGGAGCCAGGAGCCAGGTGCTTTTCCTGGTCTCCCATGGGGTGCAGGGCCCAAGCACCTGGGCCATCCTCCACTGCACTCCCTGGCCACAGCAGAGAGCTGGCCTGGAAGAGGGGCAACCGGGACAGAATCCGGCGCCCTGACCTGGACTAGAACCTGGTGTGCCGGCGCCGCTAGGCGGAGGATTAGCCTAGTGAGCCGCGGCGCCGGCAGATTTCTTTCTTCTTAAGTGAGAGGCCATGGGCCCAACTTTGTAATTGGATGAAGGACTTTTCTCCTAACTTATATAGAATCACATCATTATTCCACAGAAGGACAGCTTGCAACCTAAATTTGCTTACAGGGCCTAAGACAGTTAAGATTCTCTACAATACAGACTCCATGATCTTGGGAAGAACTACAGATAAGAAATAGTCTGATAGTTCTTAGATACCTAAAATTCCTGGAAAAGTATAGGTGTGGGGCCTGTACTGTGGTGTAGTAGGCTAAGTCTCTGCCTCCAGCGCCGGCATCCCATATGGGTACTGGTTCATGTCCTGGCTGCTCCATTTCCTATCCAGCTCTCTGCTATGGCCTAGGAAAGCAGTAGAAGATGGCCCAAGTGCTTGAGCCCCTGCACCCACATGGGAGACCTGGAAGAAGCGCCTGGCTCCTGGCTTCAGATCGCCTTCGGATCCAGCTGTTGTGGCCACTTGGGAGTGAACCAGCGGATAGAAGACCTCTGTCTCTCTCCTTCTGTGTGTGTGTAACTCTGCCCCTCAAATAAATTAAAAAAAAAGAAAAAAGAAAAGTATAGGTCCATAAAAATTATCCTTCCCACCTATTCCTTGAAATTTGCCTAGTCTGTTCTCTAGAACTTCTCCCCTTAGACCACTAGGTGGAGAAAAAGTAGGAGTAGGAAGCAAGCAGTATTGACAGAGCCCAACACAAGGACTACTAAGACAGCTTTGCCATTAGTTAAGTTGCTGTTTTGATATTAATGGTCAAAGTCTCTTTTTCCAAGAAGAGTGAATGAACTATCTTTTTTTAAGATATATTTTTAATTTATTTGAAAGGCAGGGTTACAGAGAGAAGGGGGTGGATTATGACCTGGTCAAACTGATTAGATCCAAATTTTTAGCTTATTCTATCCTGCTGAGCTTTTGCAAGCATCAAAAACAATAAGTTAGCACTTTCCCAACAAATACTAAGCATGATCAGTCAACAAGGACTTTTGTTCAGTTTCAGATACCCTAAGGACATCACTGATCCATAAGGAGACTAGTGTGGAGGGTTTTGTTTCATGTTATTGAATAATAATGTGGATTAAAGACTAAAACAACTAAATTTCAGCTTTTGAGATGTTGTATTACTGAAGGAAAGGAATAATTCCAACTAGTCATTTGTCAGATTAAGGAAGTTGTGTCGGCCATTTGACAGGAAAGACATTCATTGGCATTACCTTACTGTCCTGCTCCTTACTTCTCTCTCTTCAATGCTCAGTTTTGTTTGGCTCCAAAGCATCCTATCTTCAGGTCTGTTTTGGAAATAAGAAAAGCATTCAAAATGAAAACTAAAATGTAGGGACAGGCATTTGGAACAATGGTTAAGCCACAATTGGGACACATGTATCTCATAGCAGAGTGTCTGGGTTCAAGTCCCAGGCTTCACTCTCCATTCCAGCTTGCTGTTGTGTATACCCTAGAGGCCAACAGGCGAAAGCTCAGGTGGTTGGATTCCTAAAAACTATGTGGAATATCTGGATTGAGTGCCAGCTCCTGACTTCAACCCGGGACAGCCCTGGCTGATCAGCGCATTTGGAGAGAGAACTATCAGATAAGAACTCTCTCCCCCAATCTCTTTCTTCTTCCTCTGTCTCCCTCTCTCCCACCTCATCCCATCTCTCTGCCTCTCTAATAAATAAATAAAATGTGACTTCAAATTCCAAAAACACATATAACAGTAGCATAAACTTACCAAGTATTGACTTTGAGTTGGGCATTATCTCATTTAATATTCATTCCAACTACTTGGTGAAGCAGCAATTATTATTATTCTACTTCTCTGGAATTTAACTTTAGAGGTCAGCACAGTGGTGCAGTGGGTAAAGACACCACTTGTGACATCAGTATCCCATAAGGGCACCAGTGCCAGTCCTGGTTGCTCCACTTCCAATACAGCTCCCTACTAATGTCCTGGAAAAAGCAGCAGAGGATGGCCCAAGTACTGGGCCCCTGCACCATGCAGGGAACCTGGAAGGCACTCCTGGCTCCTGCCTGGCCCACCCCTGGCAAATGCAGCCATCTGGGAAGTGATCCAGCTCCTTAGACTATGAGACTTGAGAAGCCAGGCATTTTATTTCTATGTTCTACTACTTCTCTAGTAGAACACAGAGCTGATGTATAAGGTATATTTTTATCCTGCCAATAAAAGTACCACAAAAGATGAAACCAAGTGTTGCAGCAGAACCAAACTCAAAGAGGAAAAAGGCACACCAAAAGAAAGGTAAGCCTGAACAGGAGGAGAATAATGAAACACCTGAAGCCTACTTCTAAAGCATTTCGATTATAAAGGAAAGATCTCCTTTATTGGAATCAAATCATGTTAACCTAACAAATCAGACATTTAAGTCTTCAGCTGACACAGTTCCCCATGGTACACCATAATTATCATATTTGGACTCTTGCCATAACAGCAAAGGAAGAACTTCTACCCATCCTGTCACTAGACTTCTATCCCAGCAGAGTAAGGATGGACCTTTGCTACAGATATCAAGAGTTTACGGCACAGTAAGCTTTTTAGTGTTACATGCTAACACCTCCAAACACTTAGCATAAAGTTAACTAACTTGTGCCCCAACCACCAACAATATGGGGTATAGCATATTGTGTAAAAATGAAATCAGTGTTAAACTAGCTGTCACCTAACAAGATTTGTGATCTCGGGGGCCGGCACTATGGCACAGCGGGTTAAAGCCCTGGCCTGAAGCACCGGCATCCCATATGGGCCCCAGTTCTAGTACTGGCTGCTCCCCTTCCCATCCAGCTCTCTGCTATGCCCTGGGAAAGCAGTACAAGATGGCCCAAGTCCTTGGGCTCCTGAACGAACCCCTGTGGGAGACTCAGAAGAAGCTCCTGGATCCTGGCTTCAGATCGGGGCAGCTCTGACCGTTGCAGTCGTCTGGGGAATGAACCAGCGGATGGAAGACCTCCCTCTCAGCCTCTACCTCTCTCTGTAACTCTTTCAAATAAATAAAATAAATCTTTAAAAAAAATTGTGATCTTGCACATATTTAACCATTAGAAGTCTCACTTTCCTCAAGTGCAAAATGGGGCTGACAGCAGGATATGCCTTGGTAGGAACTAGATTACATAGAAGGATTTTCTTCCTTAATTTTGAAAATTTATTTTTAAACACAGAGAGAGAATCTCCTGTTGATTCACTCCTCAAATCCCAGCAACAGCAGGGGTGAAGCCAAGCCTAAGTCAGGGACTGGTCATTCAACCCGGGTCCCCTACGTGACAGGGACCCGAGGACTTGGGCCATCACCTGCTGCCTAGCAGGGTGTGCACCAGCAAGAAACTGGAATGCGGAACCCAGGAACTCTGATATGGGATGCTGACTTCCCAACAGACCCCAAGGAGAAGTTCCTAGCACATTACCTAGCATGTGGGCGTTCTCAGCAAGCGTTAGCGTTAGCTTATTGCTAACTGACGAGAAACTGACAACTAATTAAACTGTTAACTAAATTATTAATTTACTACCTTTAGTAGTTTAAATCTGGTTTCCTCACCTTTTCATTACTGCATTCTCCGGTTCACAGAGGAAAACAACTCCAGATTCAGTTCTACAGGGAGAAAAGCAACCAAACAGATTTTGACAGCCGAAAGCCCGCCTCCGTCCCTCATGCCCCGCCCCCTCAATTTCGGGCTCTGCAGCACCCCCTTTCCGCCGATCAGGTCGGACCTGACTTCCAAGTCCCGCCCACGAACGGCTTCCGCCGCGAGTAGATTTACATATCGACTGCTTATTGGCTACTAATGAGCACTCCTTCTTCTCATTGGTTGATGCTGTCTCGAGCGAAATCCCGGAGGAAGTTCCGCGCGTCGTTGGGAGCTGAGGGTCACTTTCGTTTCTGTTTCCGGTTCGCCTGCGAAGGCATGGCGGCTGCGTCGGGAAAGAGGTTGCCCTCGATATTGGGCAGATGGCGCCGCGGGCTTCGAATGGCCCCCCAGTCCCGGGTGAGTACCTACTTTCTCTGCTCCCGAAGAAGCTCTGGGACCCTAGAGACAGCTGCGCTCCAAGAAGGAGCTGTTTGGCAGCCGCTTCCTTTAATTGAGAGCCCTCAGTCTTCCTTTGTGGCTGGCACCCAGCTTTCCTTTCTCGGCTTCCAGGCGCTGGCGGCCCTTGTTCGCGGCGTGAGTCAGGTAGATAACAAGTCCGATTTTCTGGGGAAGAAGCCTCACCGTCGGCACCCTGGCATCCTACGTCTGCCGTGCGTGCAACTGCCACAGGCACTGGCTGACGCCGCCCAGCTACTGCTACTCCGTAAGTAACGGCGGGAAAGGGGTATCCGAGGAGAAAAAGAAATGGGCCTTTGCACACAGGTAATTCTGCTTTTCATCTCTGGCCTCCAGAGAACGCAGTGCCCAATGTGGAGAAGCATGTGCAAGCACTGACCAATTATCTCTGGAGCCGACACTTGCCCGTAGAACCTGAGGAGCTACAAAGACGGGCTGTGAGTCTGGAGAAAAAGTTCCTGGAAAACGCAGGTAGGATTGAAGACTGATGAAAGATTAGGCCGGATTGAAACTGGGGAATGAAGTGCAAGAGATAATTTTACAGTCTCTCAAATAGATATTGGAGTTTCTTATTTGACTTTCTGCCTTACTGGAAGATAGATTTGTTCCAGAGACTACCCTTGGGACTTGAGGAAGGGACAGAGTATGGCAATTGAAATCTGGATCCCAGTTGGGACCATCTACTTTTTTTTTTTTTTTTTTTTTTTTTTGACAGGCATAGTGGATAGTGAGAGAGACAGACAGAGAGAAAGGTCTTCCTTTTGCCGTTGGTTCACCCTCCAATGGCCGCCACGGCCGGCGCGCTGCGGCCGGCGCACGGCGCTGATCCGAAGGCAGGAGCCAGGTGCTTCTCCTGGTCTCCCATGGGGTGCAGGGCCCAAGGACTTGGGCCATCCTCCACTGCACTCCTTGGCCACAGCAGAGAGCTGGCCTGGAAGAGGGGCAACCGGGACTAGAACCCGGTGTGCCGGCACCGCTAGGTGGAGGATTAGCCTATTGAGCCGCAGCGCTGGCCCATTCTTATTAAGGTGAAAGTCCCTGTAAAGTTAACTGCCTAATGCTGAAAACCTCTGGGATTGGAGAATACATGTAATATATTCACGGTTGTGAGCTCCTTCGTCTTACAGACCTTTTATTTATCTTGTGTCCCCTACACCCCCCACAATCTGGCTCTGAATGGGCATTTAGTACATACTTGCCAAACACAATAGAGTCCCTTTTCCACCTATAGGAACATTCAAGATGTCACAGTCTTAAGTTTTGGGGAAGTGAGGAAATCCACAAAATAATTGTCCTTCTCTTATCCTTTAAATCTAAATTGTATTTTCCTTTATTATAGAAAAAAATTTGTTGGGTAGGGTCAGTTAAGTTGAATATACTGCTGTTGGAGGCAAATACTATCTCATACACTCTAGGGGTGCTGGTGGTGATTATCCTTAGCTGAAATTTTTCTCTAGGTTTGGCTGCTTTCTTGAGCTTTGAGGCTTTTCCAGTGGGAGAGGGGAGAACCGGGAGGGCAGTGAATTAAATATTGGATCTGGTCTCTGTTCTCCTTAGGTCCTCACTTCCAGTCCTTGTTCTCACCGCAGACTCATCCCAGACAGAAGAAAAGCTTCGTGGAGCAGTGCTACGTGCCCTGCGCAAAACCACCTACCATTGGCAAGAACTGAGGTGAGGGGGGCTAGAAAACATGCAGAAGGAAGAAAAGTTGGACTTGAAAAGGAGAATGGAGCCGCACAATTGCATGATCAATGCAGTGTTTGAAAAAGTGCCTGAGTGATAGTGATCCCCAGGACCACTCTGCCCTGGGGAGTGAAAAGCTAAAGTGGAAGAGCCCTTTCCAAGATCTTATTTCCTCGCAATGGTCAGCAGGTGTGACTCTGATTTTTGTGCAGCTACAATGAAGGACTGAGCCTGGTGTATATGGCAGCGAGACTGGATGGTGGCTTCGCGGCAGTCTCCAGGGCATTCCATGAGGTGAAAAATCTGTGTCTAACTTGAACGCTCTTACCTGCTGTTCCCTTATTGATTCATAACGTAGTCTGTACGGTAGGGATTCTTAGGGTGCTGCGTAGGCTTTTATGCTTTGCTTTTTTTTTTCTTTCTTTCTTAAAGTTCTCTTGTCCTGTAAAAGGATTCTGTGACCCAAGAAAGGTTCAGAACCACTATTTTAGGAGCTTGTTGTTAAGTGTTTATGTTGAATCTCAGAATGTGTTCACGTCTTTCTTCCTCTGTCATAGTCCCCTAATTCATATTTACTAAGGCACTAAATAAGTATCTGCTTACCATACTGTGGGGTGTTGTGTGTTTCTCCAGATCCGAACTCGAATTCCAGAGTTTCAGCCACAAACCTTAATGGACTTTGGCTCGGGTACTGGCTCTGTCACCTGGTGAGTAACTTGCTTCATCCCTTTCTCAAGTCTAGTTCTAGAAGGCCACACTTAACACCAATCCAGTATCAAGAACTTGAAAAACCACAGGAAAAATAGGAAAGTTGAGAACCTAGAATGTTTCTTCTCTCCGATTAGGCGAGGCAGAAGAAGGTATATGGGTTAGGGCCAGGATTTAAAAGAAGTATCATAGTGAAAAAAGACCCATATCTGAAAAGTTTAAAAGCAAAGGAATAATAGTGTAGGGTGGCCGGCGCCGCGGCTCACTAGGCTAATCCTCCGCCTAGCGGCACCGGTACACCGGGTTCTAGTCCCGGTTGGGGCGCCGGATTCTGTCCTGGTTGCCCCTCTTCCAGGCCAGCTCTCTGCTGTGGCCAGGGAGTGCAGTGGAGGATGGCCCAAGTGCTTGGGCCCTGCACCCCATGGGAGACCAGGAAAAGCACTGGCTCCTGGCTCCTGCCATCGGATCAGCGCGGTGCGCCGGCCGCAGCGCGCCGGCCGTGGCGGCCATTGGAGGGTGAACCAACGGCAAAGGAAGACCTTTCTCTCTGTCTCTCTCTCTCTCACTGTCCACTCTGCCTGTCAAAAAAATAAAAATTAAAAAAAATAATAAAAAAAAATAGTGTAGGGTGTAAGTTTTTACATGTCAAAGTTCTTTTGACTACAGGTAATTTTCTGAGCCTTCCTTTTTTTAAGGAACTATAAGTAAAACAAGAAAATAACATTGTTCATTTTCATTTTTCCAACTTTTCTAAACATGATACCTGTTTTCCCAGGGGTGGGGTTGATAATAGATACATCTCCTGTAAGAGTGACTTTTTGTCATAGAATTGGTGGTTTGTATTTTGCCATCTTAGGGCTGCTCACAGTGCCTGGGGCCAGAGCCTACGTGAATATTTGTGTGTGGACAGATCAGCTGCCATGTTGGATTTGGCAGAAAAACTACTGAAAGGTGAGGACAAGCTACAAGATTGAAGTCTTCCAAAATCGAGGAATTTAATGCTAAGGAGTACTAGAAAGGGTGGTTTTATTAGGAAGTAGAAGAGAGGACCAAAAGTAAAGGTGAATCTGTTCCTCTTCCAATTTAATGGTCAAGCAGCAGGAATTAGAGGCCTTTGCTGGACTATGTATAGATTGGGCAAACTTTTCATGTTGTGCCTCATTCTCCTCTGGTGTTTTTCTTTATTCTCAGGGCCATGTTTCTTATTTGGATATCTATTCCGTTTACACCTGTGACTGTAAACTTCATATACACTCATGATCGTCACATTTCTTCTTTCTTCCACAGGTGGTTCAGAGTCTAGGGATCCTTATGTTCCAGGTGTCTTTTTCAGACAATTTCTACCTGTATCACCTAAGGCAAGTGGCAGTGTTCAGAGTATTCTTTGTGTTGAATATGGCAGATAGAAAACTGTGGCCTTAGGTTTGCAATCCAGCATTGAGTGTTGGAAGAAAAAAGGAAGCAATAGAAAAAACTTCAGGGCTAGGACTTTGTTGTCCTCTTGGAATAGGGAGATGTCAGGTCTTTCGTGTTTCTTCTCTTGGTCCTCAGGTGCAGTTTGATGTCGTGGTATCAGCCTTTTCCCTAAGTGAACTGCCCAGCAAGGCTGACCGCACTGAGACAGTTCAGAACTTGTGGCGAAAGACAAGTGGTTTTCTGGTGAGTTGAGACCTCGTAAGTACTAAAGCAGCTTCACGGATTTCTTGCTTTCCCTACTTTCATTGTCCTCGTTCTTGCATAGTTGTCCCCTTCGGAAGTGTCTTTATCCTCTTTTCAGATCTCTTATCTCTGTCTTACATATAACGCCCATTTCCTTTTAGAACTCGTACTTCCTCTGAATGTTCCTACAGAGCTGCTGACGTTGATCTTTTGTGTAACTTGGGGCTTCTGCTTATCTTCCCCTCTTGTGAACAGGTGTTGGTAGAGAATGGAACAAAAGCAGGGCACTGCCTTCTCATGGATGCCAGGGATGTAGTCCTTAAAGTAAGATTCCTTCTTCTTCCTTCACTCCCACTCACCTACAGCAGTCACTCTTACTCCCTTGAAAACTGAAGAACTGTCATCCGTTGGTGAGGGAGACTCTCAGGAAACAAGATACGTAAATATATACATATGTATGCTAGAGCAGTAGTTGCCGAGCAAGGGCCTGTTGCCGACATCCAGCCCACCACCTGTTTTTGTGTGAGCCGTGCTTACTCTGCATGTCTGTATTCACTATGACTGCTTTCATGCTCCAAACAAAAGAGTTGATAGTTGGGAAAGAGATTTT